GTACATCTATTTATGACTTTATTCCTCGTTATTTATTTTAGTAAAACTTTGAATATATCGAACACTCTTAATGTATTTTTTAATTTATTTTCTTTGCGTTTAGTTTTTTCATTTTCATTTAGTTTTATTATGTTTAACTTGTAGAAAACAGAAGTAGATAAAGATTTGAGTGAGGTCGAGCTGAAGATTCGTGAGGAACTAAAAAAGGTACATCGAGAGTTTCTAATTTTATTGACAGCAGGTATGATAAGAGATATTCAAATTTTATTTTTTATTTTTCATATAATAAGTATTACTTTTGCTCAAAATTGATTATACGTTTATTATTATACATGGGAAGGCATAAAAAAAGGTAACAAGTTAAGATTTAAATATCTACAACAATGATGTGTACATACATGTGTAAATTATGACCTAAAAAAGAATGGTTGAATACATATGTTATTTTATGAAAAGCTTCATGTGTTTCGAGTACACTTGCATAGATAATGCTAGTGCTTTGTGGCAATGCATGGTAAAATACTGTAGTATAGATTATTATCAGAAAAACGAAATCTGCTTGCAAATTTTCACCTAAGGCTCTAATCTAGTACAAATTAATTTTATAAAAGTTTATTCACGTATAATTTTATATTATATTTTTATGAAATATCAATCGTTGCAACAAAATTAGATTGGAGTCTTAAATTATACAAAAATGCATTACATTAGTTTTTCTACTTCTTATAAGTACAATTACATACTAAATCTGAAGATGCAATTGTAACATGATCATTTGGTGCTAACAGTATGTGGTTAATATACATATAAATTTAAATGGAAATTATTTCTCAAGATATCTTTATACAACATTTTTCTGCTTAAGTAATTTGTAGTAAACAATGTATGGTATTTTACTAAAACAGGTTGACAAGCTACGTCAACAAGCAGAAGAGCAGGAATCTGTATTACATGCTCAAGAAGAAGAACTTAATTCTAAACGGCAAGAATTAGAAGGTTTACGCCAAGAGGAACAGCAGTTGGAACAGCAACAAAACAAAAGCAGGGACCAATTAAACGAATTGACAAAAAATTTGCAGGATACTCAGTTACAAATTTGTCAAGCAAAGGCAAAAATCACTCATTTGCAAGAACAGCAACGTCAGATGAGTGATGCAATTGCACTTTATGATTCGGCACTTGCGGCAGGAGACGGCACTCTTGTACCTGATACTAGTCTGCAATTCAATCCTGAAATCGAAGATCTAGAGTGAGTTCTTGAAACATAATTTATGCAAGCGTACGAAACTTCTACTTTTACGGTCATTTAAACTAAATACATGCAGGTACGAAACTACCGCAAGCAACGCAGATGGAGTGAAAGAAAAAAGAGCAGATTCTTTCTCGAATGCGAATGGAACAGCAACGATGGATGGATTTGACCAAGACCCCTTTGCATCGAGTAAAGCTCAAGAAGCATTTAATGCGTCAACACCAGATCCATTTGGAAGTACATTCCCATCACAACCTGCTTCGGTATGTTTTTAACTTAACTACAGCTTGTTATCAATTTATTAGGATACAAGATTTTTTAGATCTAACATATCGAAAATTTGTTTTTGTCTGTTCAACAGTTCGACCCATTTAGTGCGTTTGATAATAGTAATACGAAGCAGGATCCTTTCGATCCATTTGGAAATGGAAGACGAACCGATGGAAAACCTACAGTTACTACAGCAGTAAGTTCTAAAATCGTTTTAATATTAAAATTTTGATGTGATAATAGAGGTAATAGTGTTAATTAATTATTATTATTGATTTTCCTATAGGCAACAAAAGATCCTTTCGGAGATGATCCATTTGCAAATCTTCATGCTCCTACTCGCCCGGAAAGCCCTAGTCCTGCCCTTCCTCCTAAGAAAGCAAAGCAACCACCACCTCGACCAGCGCCTCCACGACCTTCTCAAGGACCTACAGGTCCTTTGAGAGCAGCACCTGCACCGCCGACACCGTCTCCAACACCAGATCCTTTTGCAAATTCTAATTCTGATCCATTTTCCTCTCAACAAGGTATTATGGATAATAATAACGGTGGTTTCACTACATCTACTGGATTCGCTGATTTTGCTAATTTCGATTCCAAGGTATGTACCCTAGTCAATTTCCAAATGACATGTGAAAGTCAAATAAAATATGCTTTTATTTTATTAGTCGGTAGAATTACTATTCATTTAGCATGTAATTGTTTATTAGCCCACAACTGACTTGTTTCCTTATTTTTAAGTGTTCCCACATATCGACCTGGCCATATCCCATCTTTCCCCCTCTTCATCAGTCTTTAGTATGTTATATTAAATATATTAGCGACGTATATTTCAAACATAGCTAGTCTTAATAAATATGAAAATATATTGGCATGACTTTGATTATTATATTCCGTTTATGCGCGAAATTACGTTAAAATTTGACACATGAATTGTTGTTCTATGTCATTCCAATATATTGCCGTGTTAGTTTGTAAAATACATTTTACGATAAAGATTAATTTTATTGTTTGTTTTAAATTTAGGTAGAAGCTGCACAATTTTCAGTTTATTCATTGACCTGGCTTCTGGAGCATGCTGACTACAAATTAATTTTTTTCTCTTTGTTTCAGTATTATAATTTCATTTTGTGATAATGCATGACATATTTTCGTCTTATTTCGTTTTTCGCACGTTAAAGAAAATGTTCGAATTCTAGGATAACAAAGAATATGATATAAAAAAATTAACTTGATCTTGAAATTTCGGTCACCACTAAAACCGCGCGAAATCTATTACAATCTCGTAATCTGTCCCTTTTGTAAGAACATCTTTTTCATAACTTGCAATGCAATCCGTGGCTTCCAATGAGAGGCGAGCGCGCGAGCTCTCATTAATAGTAAACTTATCCATTATCCAGAGGATATTTTATCCTCTCTATTATCTTTATACATGTACAATTTATGTCTCCAATAGCGTTGTAAGTGCAAGTCTCCGTCTTTCCCAGTTAAAGTTTCACCGAACCATATCGTCTGTCTTTCTGAATTTTCTATTCCCATTTAATTGCATCCATTTCTCATCGTACGAAAGCCAGTGAAAATCTAAATTAGAGAACAGTTGAGATTCTTTCCTTGTGACAGGATATACACTCTGCGAATGAACTCGAACATTTTGAATGATTTTCGAACACACTTTTTAGCATTTCGACAGCAGTTAGCTATGGTCCAGCAGCCTGACGATAACCAGCGATTCTCGCGCTATTCTTTGTACCTTTTCAGTAAACGAAAATTGACCACTGAAAAAAACCTGCTTCAGCCGGAACCAACGCTAAATCGAACGGCACCGCCCAGACCAACGAGCAGAGCACATACAACGGTATATCCAAAGCTGCCGGATTTCACAGAGGATCCCTTCAGAGATTATCGGTACGAAGACCTCTTTAATATAGCAGATCCCTTTGCCGACGACACCGAGGACTTCAATGCGAACAAAAGTAACGAAACGGGCAAGACAGATCCATTCAGTTGCGGAACATCGTCCGTTATTCCTCGCAAGAATTCGTTCACGAAAGGCTTCGAGACCGACTTCTCGAACACGTTCCCTCTAACGAAGAACAAAATCGAGAAAGACAATGCCAAGTTCGAGGCCGACTTCGTGAAAGCTTTCTCCGAGGATAATAGGAACATCGAGGCCGTTGAAACGGATGCGTTCTCCAACGCCAAGACGAAGACGATCGATCTGGACGAAGCGTTTTCAACGAAAAGTGACAAGTCGAAGAAACAAGGACAGGACTCGACGACGCATAACAGCAAGGCGAAGCCCGGCGTGAACGACAAGAAAATGAAAGCGTACATCGAGAAAGTTTGGAACGGTAACGGCACGCCGCTGGCCCTAAGCGAGGAAGAACAGGTTTTCCTGGCGGCCCAGCAGAGCTTGAAGACCGAAGAGGAGCGACGCAAGCGTAAGCAACAAGAAGAATTGGAACTGGCGTACGCGCTTGAATTGAGCAAACAAGAAAAGTCTGGGAAGTCGTAAAAATAGCTTTCGGTCGGTAGAATATTTTCCGTTTCGATTTCGTTTCTCCAGTTGACTAGTATATTTTTCGGGCACAACGACTTTGCGAATCTTGATACAAGAAACAGGACTGAAGGGTATATATATATATGAGATACACTCACACTTCGTACGATTGTTAAATAACTATCGAGATTTCACGGTCTGCACTAATTAAGGCTATGAAAAGAATGTCTGCGTCGTAAACTGCAAACTACATATAATGCTTACTTTTAATACTATTCAGCATATCATAATTGCTGTGAAAAAAAAACAGAACAGAAAATATTTAGACGAAGTATAGCGAGATATACGAATATCCCAAGAAAATCATAGAAGCGCCCGCGCGCGCGCGTATATATATACTATACATATATATAATAATAATACCATACGAGATCAACAAATCATTTTCATTGTGTAATGTGATCAGTTTTTGAATGTGGCCTTTTACGTTATTGTACTTTTTTTTCTTTCTTCTTTCTTTTTTTTTTGTTATTACTATACATTGAAGACAGTTAATCTAACGATCAGAATGTTAAAAAGATGTTGAGATATATTATTTGACTACAAAACAAGTAAACATTTCTATGAAATTATGTAAGCCTGTTTCGGCGCTTTAGTTTACCGACGGAGGAGTCGATGAATTTTTGTAAAAAAGGGGGAAGAAGGTAAAAAATATATATATTCATTATTGCCTTGCAATGTCGAATTCTAAAGTAACGACAAATTACATACTCGCAGCTCGTTGTACACTATCGCTGAACGTAAATTAGCAATGTATAAAGGCAAACAAATATAACGGCAGATTTATGGGATCGACAATAAAACGTTGCGTAACGTACTCCGTGAGTTTTAAGCGAGGGGAATAGTAAATAAAAACAGTACATCCGTGATATAATGGAGAACGGACTTTACAGCGTCGTTATCGCAAAACGTACAGTATAACTATATACATCTGTACATTCGCAACTACATATGTACCGGCGAAGCAACGTTTCTATTTGTTGTACAATCTGCACCATAACTAATGCCCCTGTGTACAACATTGTCCGAACTTGATACGTCTTCACTCAGTATTCGTTATTAATCATGAAGATTGAAAAAGAAAAAAAAGAAAGATATTCGACTACATGAATGTTAACAAGTAGAATTATATATTAAGACGTATAATAATATAAAGTTTATTAAAAAGTCATTGTCAGGTATGATAATATGCTCTTGAACACATTATTATGGAGTATTTAACGAAACATTTCGATTGTACATGACGAGTCGCAAGAAATCAAACCAATGTACAAGCAATTAAGTTTGAGGATCAACGAACCATGTCTTCTGAAACAGCAAAAGTCCACCGACCGATATTTTGAGAAAATGTATCTTTTTTGTTTATCTGCTTGATTTTATTATCGGTTTTGTTTTTTGTTAATTTTGTTTCGTTAACATTATACGCGTATTTGTTAGGATTACAATTGTAAGTATTACAAATATTAAAAAGGTGGAGTTATGCTGTTTTGAACTTCGTGGTCTCAATTTTTACAAACAATATAATGGTAACAAAGAGATCGTGATGCCGCAAGAACACCGTGAAACAAATTCAATGATATGTAACACCATGACTGGTTCTCACCACTTCGACACTCAGTATTTACGTCGTCAGATAAGACAAATAAATATCTCGTTGCTGGTACAGCAGCGAATCTAAACATTTCCTGCTGAAAGATGAGTAACGGCTACGCGTACAATTGCAAACAGCACGTGAAGAAGAGGCGTGGAAGACTTTAGTCTTGTTGAAAACAACAAACGAATTGGATTACCTTGTTAATTGAATGATTTTTTATGTTTTCACAATCTGTAATCAAAACAGATTTTTCAATATTCAAGTAATGAAGTTTAGTTTTCACAAAGAATGTTGTGGATAACACTAATACTAAAAAATTAAATAAATGTTCAAATAAATTTGATCAGTGAGTGTTTCTTGTGTATGCAGTTATAAAAGTGAGTTACTAACTTTATTAAATAATGTCACCTTCAAAATCATTCAGCTCTTGTTTGAAACATTATTGAATATAATAAGCTATTTTTTTTCTTTTTTTTTTGATAAAACTTGTATACTACTTTTACTCATAGTCAATGGTATTATATGTCATGCAACACCGGATAAAACATAAAGTTGGAGATACGGGAAGTCAGTTACAAAAACAATTGGGATCTCGTCGGATGCAAGGCATATTAACATAATTAAGCAATAGCATAATTCTTATACTTGGTAGTGTTTTCTAATTTGACGAAGATTATTAGTACATTTTTATTATATTAATATTATTATTATTAATATTAATAATATATAATATTAATATATATATATATAATAATAGTATTAATAATATTATTATTAATATAATTATATTAAACTATATTAATTAGTGTTCATTATTAGTACACTGCGGATTTTATGGAGCGCGACGGGATCCTTAATTAGCTTACCTCGACATAGTAAAATATTCTAAAAGTTTCATGTGACTTTTGTTTTCTTTGAAGTTTTCTTTCTTGAGACTCGAAGCTGTACAAGTTTCCAATTGCAAGGCAGAATATTCGCGTTTCCTTGAAGTTAACAATAGGAAAAGAATGAACGAACATTTTGTTTCTTCTTATTGGAATTTGCATTCAGACGAAAGTAAGGAGGGGGGGGGGGATGGGAGGTGAAAAAGATGCGAGTAATAAATAATGTTTATCCATGTGTTTGCCGTTGAATGAAGCGTTCAGCCTTCGATCTTAGTACGTCCCAAAGAATAACGTGTTCAATTAAATCGTAGCTCGTGTTTGTCCTGAGATTATCTTGCGTCACGTGCGTCATGCTCGGAAGTCAAACACACAAAGGGCCGCGTATATACCTTTACGTTCGTACAGATATATCTTGTAACTACATTGAAAACGTATTACACATGGTGTATATATATATATATATATATATTACTATCCGCATTCTTTGGTCGTGATTATTGTAATTGTGTTATTACTTTTATGCCGTTAAGTGACATTATTGTATTAATATTATAATTGGCAATGGTAGTCTCTACGGAAGCACACACACACATACACAGACACGCTGTCATTATTTACCAGTGAAGGAGAAGAGCGAGTGTACTGTAATATCATGCTGTATTTTCTTCTTGCGAATACGGTGTAGTGATGCGTTTTTTATTGCCGCTATTGTGTTCGAGAGAGAGAGAGAGAGAGAGAGAGAGAGAGGTGGTGTGTGTATTATGTGCGTATATACAGACAGATGCATGCTACGCTAATGGCGCGATTACACATGAACACATGGGCGAGCGTCGACAAATGTGTGCCAGAGAACGATCCATCGGCGAACTGATATTATTATTATTGTCATCTGTAATTCGAATAACGCGAACAGTTTTCTCTTTCTTTCATCCAAAGGGTTGAAATTAGTTTGTTAAGTCATCCATGATATTGTGACTCCACCTGTTGTTGTCTGTAAACTAACTTCATGGTACATTTTTCTGTTTCTGGAGGACACGAAATTCAATGAAATTTCAAAGGATATCATACTCCCTAACACCGTGACAACGGAGAATTTGAAATTATTAGGCGATCTCATAAGTATTATTTTCAAGATTAATTTTAACCCTGGATAATATGTACGTATACTTTTTTGTAATTTATTTAAAGCCCGGGGAGTCTAGCGAACCCTAATTTTTCCTGTTAACGAGAATGTATACCTTGAGAATAAAGCTTAGAAATATTGTCCCCGATTGTTGATATCTGTGAATATGTTGAGATGAAATACAACATAAAAATATGATAGCAAGATGTACCGTACCACTTTTTTTCATTCTTTTTAATGTCGGACCGAAACGTTTTTTCATACGATATCCATTTTTCTACGGAGTCACGGAAGCCGCAGCTTCGGTTTCCGAAAGCGAAACGACGTACGGTGAATTCTCCCTAGTAGTCCGTGTTACGGGTACGCTGGGAATTTGCCTGTGCTGTTCCCGGAAGACAACTCGCACAACGACATACATTTTTTCATTGAAATATTTAAAAACTGATTTTCTTTAACATATTTTGCTGATAGCTTTCTGATTGAAATGTGACCGAACGTGATATAGTTTGGACAAATATTTCTATCGGTTCCGCTGCTATTCAAAAGTATGTGGACAACATGCAATTTTTAAATGATAAAAATGCTTGAATTATTTACATTCCTTAAAATTTAAGAATTATATATAATTGAAGGTCGAAAGTGTTATGATGTTCAATGTCCTGAAGCGTGCCGACAGTTTAACAAGATTTACTGTCGAAAAGTAATTAGAGCAAATTAGGCATAATGTTTTGTTACAATAATTTGTATTTTGTTATCGGTGAGATGTTTGAATCGTTAGCAGAGAATGTTCACTAATGATATAAAAATGAAATGCATAAATTCTTCTAGCCGATTAAGGAGATCAAAAGTGACCTTGAACCGAATTAAACGGCTGATGTGTTATTCGGAAGAGCATAAAAACAATAAAATGATAAAAAGCCCTGATCTAGCCGCTCGGCTAACGGCGTGCCGTTTTGGTATTAGCATAATTACAGTAAATTCTCCCCAATTGTCCTTTCGGCTTGTAAACAGAAACAATTTGGGAGAACGATTGCCAACAACTATAAAAACGAGGCGCAAGGCTCGAATGGTCGTATCTCCACCTATTATTATTATTTATATAATTATTATATATATATAATATATTATTATTAGTATTAATTATATAATTAATATAAATATAAATTAATTATTAATAAATATAATATTAATATAATATATAATAATATATATAATATATATTATATTATTTATATATATATATTATTATATATACATCAGCCGTTTAAGAGTCGTAACACATTCACGTGTCAGGCTCGGGTTCTGTTTACAGTGTGCTAGACTGACAGTGTTCACATCGGCCATGCAAGACAGATGACCTTAGAACCGAAGCGTCTTAATCCGAGATTCAGCGTCGCCTTTGTACTTTTACGAGCATAGAAAGGGACAGCAAATTCTTTTAGTTTTCCTTAATGGGACTTTTGCCAACGAACTTTTCCTGATTAAAATAAGACCGAACACGGTATATTTTTTGTAAGATTATATTGATTTTTTATGAAAAATATAAATATACTTTTTATATTAATATTAACTTAAATATTTTAGGAATTTTTATTTTTGTAGTCTATATATACTCCCTCCGTATTTGAAATGATTGTCTGATTTATAAATTTACAACAACAAAATAACATGCGCCGTTTAATCATATAAAATAAAAGTTAAATAAATACATTATTATACAACGGTATAGCTGTATCATGCTTAGTAAATTATGCTTAGACCATGGAATTAATGATAGAGCAAGTGTAAAACATTATTCTTTAAAACGGGACAATCATTATGATACAAATAATTCATTCAAATAAGACGATAATTTCGACACGGAGGGGGTAATAAACAATTAATATTGATTAGACTTGTGAATACTGATTCGGTTGATTGTACCATTTAAAATGTATCTTTTAGATGAATAACCGAGTATACATCATAAAGTAATAAACAATATAAAAAATTTTGTATTGCACATACATCCTTCGCATTGTGTGAACACTAATGTAAATTAAATGGAAGAATGTTTCGGCCTTGGAGCACGATCCGAGCCTAGCACATAAATGTGTCACGACCCTAAATCTTCCGAAGGGCACTTTTTGGTTCATTTATGCAAACCGACACCGATCCGATTTTTCGCATCACCGCTCACTTAGAGAGACCCAAGAGCGATGTCGGCCTCTTCATCTGAATATCCCAGAAATGTTCCTCAAACCGGAAATAGTGGGTTCCTCAGGTTGTTTGAAGTAACTTTTTCCTTAGCGAAAATGGAATCCGCGGCTTCGTTTACGAGTTATTAACGAAAAACACTGACCGATAAGAGGCGAGCACGGCCGGTGGCTCCGCCCTCGCGGCCAATGCTGTGTCGCGCTGACCGTCTGACGCAGAGGCCGTGGTCGCACGGGCAGGGCGTCGGCCGTACGCGGTCTCTCATTGGTCAGCGTTTTTCGTGGATAACTCGTAAACGAAGCCTCGGAGAACATTTTCATAAAGGAAAAAGTTGCTTCAAATGCCCTCAGGAATCTCTTATTTCCCGGAAACAGAAGATTAACTCATTTGAAATACGGCGTTACATTGTGTTTAACGGTTGTGAATGGAAATATACATATACATATAGATGTTTTGTATTGTGTTCGCACCGTATAGACATGTAGAAACAATATTATTTGTGAGACAGCGTGAAAGTTCGTAAAGAAAATCGAAGTATAGAATGTGACATAAGTAGTTACTGTGTTTAGATAACGTTAGAGATTACGATTGCGAGATGATTATGCTGTCATATATATGTATGTAGATTGACATTTGCATATACATACAGTAAGTAGAAGACGTTATATGTATAAATTTTCAATAGCGAGCGTGTAACGGATGAGGCAATATAACATTAAGCTCTTTATTTATATCGGCGATGAAGAAACTGACCTAAATTACATATCTTTTGCCTTCAGACATTTATAGCTTTAAATATCGAGAATGATCTACAACAGTTTAACACATCAATTTATAGTTATTTTGATAAATGGTTCCATGTTACTGTGTTAAATAAATGTTACATTCTTCTTAGAGAGACTATATCTACAGTTTCTTTTTTTTCATTCATCTAATTACGGAAAACCTTCCTGCAGCATCGTGAAAATTAACGCAATCAGTATCTGAAATATTTTCATTCAAAATTATCATAATTCTCACCGAAGTCAACGTTAAAAATACAAA